CTAATGGGCTTTGGGTCTCCACCCCGCAGCAGGCTCTTATCTGTAGTAGTGTGCGTACTCTGGTCTAATCCTATTTGCAAGGCAGAATTGAGGTCATGATAGTGGGGGGAAGGAAGCACCAAAGAACTAGAGGAAAGTTGTGTGTTTCGTTGGTGCTACACTGGCTCATCCAGAATAGTCTCGATGGCAGTGAGTTTTGTTTTTTGGTGTGTTTTTTCCCCTGTTTAATGACAGCTGTAGCAGTGTAAATAAATGAATGTATGTCTGGAAATATAGGTTATTATGAAGGTGGACTGGTAAACTCATGGTCGTTAGTCAATAAATGTTGCATTAAAAAATAATCTAGCCCTTAGGAGGGAAAAAAGGTTAAATTCTGCTACATACTATAATACACATTGCAATAAAAATTTCTTGTAAAACTCAAGATTTTGAAAGCGTGTCCATCTCCCAGGAGCTGAATTTACCCTCCAAATACGGCATCTAGGTAAATTTGAATTTAAGGGGATCTTAAAGTTTATTAAATGTCAAAAGGTCCTCTTATGAAATAGAGAAAATCTAGATGATTGAATTTTGCTGTCTAACAGAGGGGGCCATTTGATCTGTGACTTGAGAGGAAACGTGTACTGCTCTGTTTTCTGAACTCTGATTGCAGGGCAGTCAGAGTTTTTTTTTAATTTTTGAGATTATTCTTAAGGGTTTGGGTTTGTTCCTTATTTGTCTTACAGATCAAGGAGCAGCAAAGCCAGTTTTCAGTTTCTTGAACAACAATCCCTCCACCTTAAGCACGCCAACCACGTCTGCCGGAGGTGTTGGATTTGGTAGCTCCACCTCTTCCTCCAATCCGCCCGTGGCTGCCTTTGTGTTTGGACAGGCCAGCAATCCTGTGAGCGGCTCTGCCTTTGGTAACTCAGCTGAAGCCAGCACATCTCAGGGCTTGCTGTTTTCTCAGGATAGCAAACCAGCAACCACATCCAGCACGGCGGCCGCTGTCACCCCGTTTGTCTTTGGTCCAGGAGCCAGCAGTAGTACCACAGCAACCACGGCTTTCAGTTTTGGGGCTACAACCACTTCTAGCTCTTCAGGTATGTTGTTTCTGTTTGCTTGGCTTTACAAGCATGGTGGCCTTTAGCAAACAAGTCATCCCAAACTGCCTGGCTGCCTTAGGTGTCATCTACACCAGGCATGTCATAACTAATTCAGTGCAGATGTACCTTGTTTTACTGACATTTTTTCAAACACGAAAGATTTGTGGCAACCCCATCATTGAGCAAACCTATGACCAGCGCCATTTTATTAACATCGTGTGCTCATTTCGCATCCCTGTGCTTCATTTGGGTTATTTGGGCAGGATTTCAAACTTGCCATTTGAAATTTTTGCACATCTGATAGACAGCAGTATAGTGTAAACCTAATTTTAATATGCATGGGGGCCCTCAAATGTTCGTGTGATGCACTTTAAGGTAATGTCGTCTGCTTTAGGTTGGTAGTCTGAAACAGATCCTGAAACATCCCCAAGGCATTTCCTACCCTTAATAGTTCACTCTTGAAAGCAATTTTTCTTTTTTTTTGTAAGAGTAAACACATTTTTTCCAAGTATGGTTTTTGTTTAAATTGTAATTGCAAATAACCATGCACTAGGAGTTGTTTTCTCTGAACCATCTCTCATGATTCATTATATATTTGTATCCCAACACCGGGACGTTGCTGGTGGGAGGTTCTCTTCTTGGCTGTATCCTTTTATGCAAAAAAATGGTTGACTGGGAGTGAAATGTGAAGCCATTTCAACCGCTTTCTCTTGGTATTGGATTCTGCTGTTCGCACTGAAATGTTATTCTCACACTTATTATTTCAAACGCACCCTGACGTGCTGTCATTAGTTCATCCAGGTGAGGAACCACACTGAGCATGCATGCAGTCTGTCTGGGTATAGAAATGGCTTGAGGGTCCCTGCTCTGCTAATCATGCTGATTAAAGTATTTGCTGGCTTCCAGGATCCTCATTTGTATTTGGCACTGGACCTTCTTCAGCACCATCTGCCAGTCCAGCATTTGGTGCTAGCCAGACCCCGACATTTGGGCAAAGTCAAGGTGCCAGCCAGCCTAATCCTTCTGGCTTTGGATCTATATCATCTTCAGCAGCATTATTCCCAAATGCTTCTCAGCCCGCGCCTACTTTCGGGACAGTGTCAAGCAGTAGCCAACCTCCGGTGTTTGGACAGCAGCTCAGTCAGTCTGCATTTGGCTCTGGAGCAGCTCCTAACTCTGGTAAGTGTGGGCAGGGAGGTCGGTTTGTATGTGCACGTGTGCTGCGGTGTGTGTCCTTGAGACTGTTGAAAGGTATTTTTAGATTGGCTCATAAGCCGCATTCCCGGTTGTCATACATTATATTACACTTTAAAGGTATTAAAATTTATGTAACTTAAGTACTTAGGTCAGCGCCATTTCTCCCAGCTCCCAAATCTAGCTTTGATTCCAACCCCGTTTTCTCACCCTTTGCTTCTCTGTAATTTTGGGCAGTCCTGGAATGGGCGCTCCTGATTCTGTTGAGGGTTCACCCCAAGATTGTGGAAGCCTCCTTTTCAGCTTTAATACCCGCCCCCCCGCCCCCCCCCGTCTTGGCTGTTAACACTAAGTTTACGGACATTCCTTCCACACCTTTTTCTGTAGACTCATGTCAAGTGGACACGTTGAATGAAACCACACATGTTCTTTAAAAAGAACTGATTCTACTTTAAACAGCATAGTTATACACTATTATAAATGCAACTATATGATCCTATGTATACATAATATATATATATAATTTATAATATTTAACATTATACAGCATGAGATACTGGGTTCAATGTATCGTAAGGGTCACTTGGGTTGATCAGTGTGACCATCTCCCCTGCATTGTTTGTACTTATATTTGATGTTTACTTTCCAAGAACTTTTTAACTACGTTTATTTTTATGACTGAATGCTTTCGAGAGTAAAACTGATTTACTGGGATTAGTACTCAGTTTACATTCCCATCAAATTAACATGTTATCTACCACAGAGAATTTTGAGATTCAAAGGCTTAAAAGAAAATTAATTTGGATGTATATATTTGGCTTATTAATGGATAAAATGTCAGCATAAATGGTAGGAGACAAATGTAAATATGTCTGTAATATTTTTCAAAACCAATGTATGAAGATGATACATCCATAAAACTAGTGATACGGCACCCCATGTCAGTTTTTCATTAAAATTTAACTGCATATGCATCTCTTTAAAAAATAGTCTGCTGGATGTTCTAAGCTATCTAAATAGAACCTCAGTGCTTGTCAGACAGAGATTCTAGTCGGGCTCTTTATTATTATTTTTGTTGGGTTGGGAGCACGTTTCTATCAGGTTGTTAGCCTTTTACTTAGTGATTTTTATCGTTCTTTGTGTATTCTGAGTGAGTCCTGGGTTTCGTGGATCTGGCATAATTCCTGCTGTTTTCTGACACATTGACCATTGGGTGCAGTGTGTACTGCTTTTATCAATAGGGAATTTTAGAGGGTTTAACTTTGTTGCACACAGGTAAGTAAGCATGTCCCTCCATCCTCCATTTGTATGGCAAGATCTGCGTTCTGATCCAGCACCAAAGTTTTTTCCTGTGGCGTAAGCTGGCCCCTCTTTGCTAACTTGTATTTATTTACCCACCACCAACTGAAATGTTAAAGGAATTTCTCCTGGGGACTTTTTCATTCTCTCCTATCGAGATTGGCTGTTTGTGTGGTTCTCTGTAACTGTGGTCTAGTGGGGATCTCTAAACTCCAAAGTGCAGCCCTCAAGTCCACTCTGACCCCTCGGACAGGGAAGCGGTTGGTTTCCAAGGCTGGAAGTCTTGGGGAGTAGACAGATGGAGCTTGCAGATAGCTCGTCCAGGGCTTTCCCGGAGCGCCGGCAGGGCCCCTCCTTCTCTTGGGAATACAAGATGGGAATGTTAAATGTGTGCGTGTGCGCACCTTTTTACTACAGTGAAAAAATTGTCTTTTTCATGGTAGCATGTCTTCCTTTGTAGTTTCTCTTTTTTCCCCACTACATTTTTTCTTATGGTAAAAATATTAACAAAACATTTAACTTCTTAACTCTCCCCCTCACTCCCAGAGAGAGGTAGCCGGCCCTTGCACTGCTGTGCATGGACAGTGCTAATGGATTTCATTGCTTCTGCGCCTGCCCTACTGCTAGTTTGGTATCCAGCTCCGACCAGCCAGACTTCTAGCTTCTGTTGGTTGCTGTTGGTCTTTTTCCCCCTCACCTTGTAAAAACCCCTTTATGTTTTCACGTGATTTCTGAAGGAGCCCTAGCTGAACCGGAAGATGGCCTTGCGCCCTTTCCTTGGTCAGAGTAAGTTGGGTCACTTGTGGGAGGTAACTTCATGGAGAACATTCATCTTTGGTGTTTTTTTTCTGAAGTGACTGTACGAGAGCTTAGCCCTGACCTGGTTTTTGTCTATAAAGTTGGAGTCAGGAATAGACGTTTTGCCCTACTGAATCCACACTTTTGAAGGACTTTCCCTTGAATCCTATAGGTTCCGTTTTCCAGTTTGGCAGCAGCACCACAAATTTCAACTTCACAAACAACAACCCATCAGGAGTGTTTACGTTTGGAGCGAATCCGAATCCCAGCACACCGGCAGCCTCAGCCCAGCCTGCAGGCTCCGGGGGATTTCCATTCAGCCAGCCATCAGCAGGATTTACAGTGGGGTAAGAGTCCAGAACTTTCTGTTGGAAAGGAGAGCTTACTTGGCACAAGACTGGGTGTCTGGTTTTCTGAAATCATTCAAGTGTGTTGTTCCATGTGGGTAAAACATCAAATGCCATTCTAGAATCTTAGTACAGTAATTTGTTTGTGCCTGAGCATGGCAGGCAGCGTGTGGCTGTGTACGGTTGCCTTCCCTTGGTTGCTGGTCACATTGAGTGTTCTGTGTCAATTGAGCAGTACTTGCCTTGGATATGGTGTGACATGAAGGTTCTCTCTCTCACAGGTCGAATGGGAAAAACCTGTTCTCTTCCTCCGGACCTTCAGTTTCTGGTCGCAAGATAAAGACTGCTGTTAGACGTAGGAAATAAAAGGTCACAAAGGTGTTACATATAACAACTTTACCAACAGTTGGTGCCCTGCTTTCAGATACTGGATTGTACTATGTGCTGGGCTTGTCTGAAGTCAGATCCGCCTAAGAATGTCTTCAATTTTGGAATTCTTTCTTTACTGAAACCCAACCATCACCCCCCCACCCCTTTTATAAAATAATAGCTAGCCTGGTGAGTGATCCTTCAGCAAAAATATTTTATGATCCAGCAAATTATTCACTAATTGGCATGGTCTGGCTGAACCCAGGAATAGAGCCCTTACAGCAAACAGCTTTGTATAGAACCTCTTCGTCTGCACCACTATGTGAGCTGATATGCGTCTAGGGAATGCGTGGAATGTAATTCTACCGGAGGAATTCTGCATCGATTAGCGGATGTTGAAAAGAATGGTTTCTATGCTGTTTGTGCTGGTGTGTGTGTGAAGTGAGTGAGTTGGGTGTCTTGTGTTCTGATAGAGGAAGCCTGACTGAAGAATGGTCCCTGCTAAGGACTTGTTAGATCCAGTTCTCCATTTAATAATTATATGCTATTTCTATATTTTCATTCTTATGACTATCACCTGTCTTGCCTTCATTATTTTATTATGAAACATGTGTAAATACAGTTTTGTTTCTGTACTTTTTTTGGCATCACATAAAATCTGTGAACTTGAAATTTTGTGTTAGAAATTTTTTTGTTGTTTGTTTAGTCTCGTCTCAGATTTTATTATGTAAATCCCATTATTCAAAGTTGCCTAGATCCATTTGGAAATCTTAAAAAAAAAATTGGGGATTCTTAAAGTGAATTTATTGGCTTTTCTGATCCAGTTTTGTTTTGGACCAAAACCCAGTATTGTACAAAGTATTAAGCATATATTTTTATATTTACTGAAATGGACAGTGGTGACTTTGGATAATAAGGAAAAGTTTAATATTAAAGCCATGTTTATTACAGTATAATTAACATTGTTAAACCATGGGACAAATGCATCAATAAAAAATTATGAAATATTTTTGCTGTAGTTTTAACTCATCCTGAAGGAACATGGGTACCAGTGGGTGGGAGCCTTTTTATTGAAGGTCAGTAACTGTCCGTCAGAAGGTAAACAGCAATGGGATACATGTCACTGACTGAGGGGAAGGCAAAGGATGGCGGCCTGCTGGAGATGCAGAAGGCACTTGTTCCTTGCCTGGGGCTGAGAAATCATGCCCAGTTTGCATATAAACTTACATGCCTTCTTTTAAAAAGTAGAAAATAAACACATGCAACCATTTCTGCTTGTTCTTGTACCTTCCTTGATAAATGTGTGGAGTTGATTATAGTATTCGTAGATTTCTTGGAAAAAAGGCAAAAAACCAGCACCAGTACATTTTTACAATTTCTTTGGATTATTGCCGTTAGGTTTGTTTTTAATGTAGTCCACCAAGAGCTCTTAGGACAGCAGTTAGTTTTATGTGCATATTAATTTGTTGAACTGGGTATTGGTTTGAATCTGAAGTGTTAGCAGCTTTTTGGGTGTTCACCAAAGGTACTTTGCACTGAAAAGTGAATTGTTGGGGATGGGAGGGCAACGATGATAGTGCATGCTAGCAGTAAACTGGCAACCTGCGGTCTAAACGTTGCCAGTGGTTCTTAACCTTCATAAATCGCGACCCTTTAATACAGTTCCTCATCTTGTGGTAACTCCCCAATCATGAAATTATCTTTGTTGCTACTTTGTAACTGTAACTTTGCTGTTAGGAATTGGGTGACCCCGGTGAAAGTGTCGTTCCACCCCCCAGGTTAAGAACCACTGCTCTGGGCCACATTAAAAATGCTCCAGAAGTAAACAGCATTCAGGCATTTACACTTTTTTTAAGGTGACTGAAAATCACTTACACTGTCTTATGTTGCATAAGGAAATGTGTGTCGTAGTCCTTCTTTACCACCCCTGTCCCCTTACCCCCAGTTGAAGTCTTCAGGGCTGGAATTAACACTTTCATTGCTTGCTGCCCAGGGCTTCAAATGATTCCAGACTTTAGTCGGGTGCAAACCCCATGCCATCTTAGAATGACCCGGGCTACAGACCCAGCTCTGATCCACCTCTTGGCTCTGTATTGTGAAGAATTCTCTTCTTGAAAGTCCTTAGAATTTCAGTATTCCAAAGAAATGTTTATTATTCACTGATTGTAACAGTAAACTTCCAGGTGTTGCCTACAATGTACGCCTGGTTTTATTAGCATATCATTTTTGAGGCCACTTTAAAAGCTAATTGGAAATGTTACAAAGCTGGGCTGTGTTAATGGGAATGAACAAATCTGGTACACTATTGAGGAACATGCACCAGCAGTATAACCCTGCCAATCAGAGCCTTCATTTCCTTGAAATGTGAAGAAGTTTCGACTGTTGCTCAACCCACTGCAATGATAGGCAGTTTGTAGCTGAGATCAAGCCATATTTTAGTTGTATGTTTGCTTCTTGAAGAACGTGTTGTATCCTGGCTCCCCCTCCTCCCACCTTGTAGTCTTGCTCGGAAGAGGTTAAAAAAAAAAGGTCAGAACACAGGCCAGCTGAGGTGTTGAGCTTTCTTCATGTATGACAAAAGACACTTAGTATGTGATATGCTACCATTGCTTATGTGGGTGATTGCTCTTTTAATTCTCTCAGAGCTTCTCACATCTGGTGTTTAGTGGGAAGCTCTTCTGCCACTTTCAGCATGGCTGCCATCTGGTTTGGGCCTGCGTAACTGCATGGATCTAATGGAATGGGCAGACTCAGACCCAGAGACCCCTCACACCATGTGCCCACTATTGCTTCAGAAGTTATTGTTTCGTGCAAAATGTCTTCCAGTACTGCAAACACATGGTTTCAACAGAAAAATTCAAAACGAGGCTGTCCAGCCTTGAAAGGGAGGATTTCACAATAAGCTTTATTTAGCTGCCATTAACTTGAGTTATCTTTGGTTTGGCATGGTGTTTTGGTAGCCCTGATTGAGCGTGCTCCAGTTCACTGCTGGCTGTAGCCCTGATGCCCATCACATGCAAACCTGAAGTTGTGGACACAGGAAAATCATTTAGAACTAAGGTGTCTACAAGCAGGAGATTCAAGGTCAGGCTTTAAACCAAGAGCAAACATTTTCAGAGAAACGCAGAAAACAGATGTATCATTGACTGAGTATTTATTGACACAATACAAATTGGTTGGTGGTGTATAAATTATTAAAAATAGAATGCTAAATTTTATATGCTGGCCAATCATAATAAACTTTGTGGATCAAGCAAGGAAATACATTTTGAAGCGAGGAACTTCTAGGCAAGCACTTGTAGACTTTGGCTTTTTTTTTGGTGGGCAGGGGTGGTGGAGGTGTAGGGGTGATAGGTGAAATGACAATTGAAATGCCCCTCTCCTAAGCTGTGCTGTTTTAGAAATACTGTCATTTTGGCATACTTGCCAAAAGAAAAAAAAAAGTTCCTGTTTTAATAAGAACCAAGAGTCAAGTGAGAAATTATCCCTAACAAAACTTACTCCCAAGTAGTTTAACTTTCAACTCATTTTTCCTTTTGCTACAAATGCTTAGACCGAAGTTAAACCTAAACAAGTCACTGAAGGGACCCACCACCCCTTCCCCACTTCTAAGAAAGAAACCATTTTTATCATCATTTGAAACAAGATATTGAAGAAAAAGGGAGTCGCTTTTGGGTAAATTTGGAAGGTGAATGTTTTAGGTGGAAAGAACTACTTATGAATGAACCTGTGCTACCAAAAAAACACCCTTTGGGCAAAACTTGTAAACACTGGCAGGCTTACTGTCCGAAACTGTTTTTATGACAGGACATTTGGAAAAGCCAGCCTTTTGACCATCCCCCTTCTGGGCCTCAAAAAGCTTTTGGGGTTGGGTTCAGACTTTTTGAGGGTGCAGTAGCCCTTTGGGCTACTTTTAGTGATGGACACTGAGCTTTCCAGATGCAGAACAACCAAGCCTGTAACCGTGTGTTTTGAGGTTTTAATTTGTATTCTCACTCAGCTCAACTCCACGTTATTTCACTTGGAAAAGTGATGCCAGCATTGCCTTCCTAAGCTAGACCTTCTGCACTAAACGTAAGACCCGGAGGACCAGAGTTCTAAACAAGGAGAGCATTAGGTTGACAAGAGGGCTTGGAGAAGGAGGATTCTTCCTGCAGCCGGGAGAGAAACTACTTGGGGCTCAAAATCCCGTTCCTTAAATGCATTCCCAAATAGGAACACACATGGGATTTTATGGTAAAGGGTGAAAATAATACTACGTATAAAGGGGCTTCCACAAACTTGTGAAAAAATTCATTAACTCTCATTTTCCAATGAAGTTTTTGAACCCCCTTCATATTTTATAGGGCTTTGCTAATAGTGTAACTTGAGCCCATGGTTGAATGACTCCAGTACAGGCAGGCCCCACCTCAAGAACAAGTTCTGATCCCAAGTCTGTCTTAAGTCAACTTTGGATGTTAAACTGGAATAGGTACAGTTCACATCTAAGTCAATTATTTCCTTAGTATATATACAGTATGTAGCATACCATTCTATACATAGAAAACAAACACTTCCAGATATAATTAAAACATCTTTAGCTTGAGAATACAGTTATAATGCTTTGAAGGTACATCACAAAGTAGCACCCATTTGTTAATATGAACCACTGTGTATACCTCAAATTTTACTCTTAACAGGGTCATAGAGGGTGGTTTGTAAGGACAGGTTGCACACAAGTGAACATTAGTGAACCAGGGACTGCCTATGTAGCAAATGTGCGATATTTTACTACATAAATAAAAATGGTCGCAGTGGTGAATCGATCTGACGAGGAATTACAAATGACAAAGATGTCCTTTAAACACAGTGCCCTGGAATACATTCCAACTTGAATTCTCCAGTCAGTGGTAAAAGCAGTGCACATACCAATGCTAATAATGTATGCATTATTACCTAATGTTTCCAAATTTCTAGTCTAATCACAACATTTTGCTTTTTCTTTTGTTTACAGTGAAGGGTCATAACACTTATCTTTTCCAGTGCATCCAAGTGAATCAGCTGTTTAGTGCTTTAGCACACTAATTGGCTTTCTGTGAAGCTCTATCTACTGTAGAATGACATGGTTTATGACATTTTATGATAAAAGAATACCAGTCCCTGGGTCACAAGCATCTGACTTAGCACATAACCCACAGTTAAAAGCTAACTACTTCAAAAGGCTTCAAAAACTTAGTGGGAAATTCTGTTATCTTTTAATTACATTTTTCCATGAAGCTTTTGAGGCCCTTTGTGTAGGACATTGTTAAAGTTTTTATAAACAGCAACTTAAAATGTGCATTTTCACATTTTTAGATGCCAAAGAAAAACAACAAATACAGTGATTGATAATACAGTAGAATCTTACACTTGTTATACGATTTAAGACCAAGGCCCAGATTGAATCCTAAAACAATAGTTTAGTGTTTTTTTTTGGGGTGGGAAATGATGTCAGAGAAGATGGGAAAATGCCCAAGAACAAAATATAAATAGTACAGGTTTATCCCAACAGAGCTATCTGGGCATCTAAAGTGTGTGCGCGGACGGACACACACAACTTGGCTTCAATAGAAGAATAAATTAAAATGACAAAATAGATAGTATTGCTTTGCTTAGTATTTTCCCTCAAACTTTGTCCCTCCCATGCCCAAATGACCTTTTGGCCCACAGAACCAAGCAGATGTAGAACAAAATTGTAGACATGAAACATTTCGCTACAAAGGGAACAGTTCAAATAATGGGGAAATTATAAATATTTCACAGACTACTAGAACTTAGGCATCTACCAAACTGATGTTTTCAACAGTCACGAGGCTATAAAACAAAAGGAAACGAATGTACTGTGCATGAGAAGCACTAGTACTATCTTCATGCTGCGTGCGCACACTGATTTTACAGCAAACATGCTAGTCAGGTGGAAGTAATTCCCACAAACTTATTCGATTTAGGGCACTGAAAACACTGGCACATTACTACTTTTAAGGTGTGTTT